TGCCACATTTCAGCTTACAGACAACAAATGCTTCCATCCCAAAACAAGGCTACACATACATTTGTCTGAACACCAATCAGAAACTTTCAAGCTACGGTCCACAATGTGCAGAGCTGATAAAAAAAATTTAATCTGCTGAAACAATGCGGTTAGTGCCCCCTGTTAAATGTAGCACTCAGTTTGACATCCTGTTAACAGTTTATCTTCTTTGTATCAAGTGAAACATTGCTGTTAATTATCTCAAAAAGAAAAGAACATTGAGAGAAGTCATTTATTAATAAGGATAATCTATTATTATCTTGGAAAATTACACAATAGGTTGCAAATGCGATCTATTTTTCAATCCTTACCTGAGTACATTATCAATCCTATTACCACTTGCTCTTTGTTTGAAACAATATTTAATGTCCAAAAAGTAAAAGATCACCAATTATATTTTTTAGTGTCTTTAATGAGTTATATCTTGAAAATCCCTGATATGATGAGCATGTCAGTGATTCTCTGATCTTTTACCCGCAACGGTGCAATAACCGTTCTTCATATTTTAACTCGTCATTTGTGGTTAAGCTCGTGGATGCAGGTTATGCAAAAGGTAAATGAGTCCACAGTGAAAAAATAAAAATAAAAATAGAAGTCAAGTGGAAATAAATCCCATTGAATATAGCACTTAGCTTGACAGCTGAGTTAGCCACTTGTTAGCGTGTTTGCTAACGTGTTTATCTTCCTGGCAATCAGGGCCGGTTCATGCTGAACCGTAGAAGCTCACATTCAAATCAACAGATTTTTACAATCACTTATTGAATGATTTACTGTGTTGTTGTTGTATTTTTCATTCCTTCTAAGAGGAAGTAGCATACTTACAGTAAATATCCTTTTCCCAGCACTGGCTCTGGGAGAGGCAGAAATAGGTTTTTGAAGCAATGAACTTCCTGTAAAATGACACACTGGGCTGTAGTTTCATTGCATAAATAAAGCATTTAAAGACTTCTATCACCACCTTCCAGAACCAGCAATGATTGATTTATCAACATGTTCACAATAATAATAATTAAAAATTAGTTGAGTTTTAATCTTCAGTGTTCATGCTCAACAATACAGGTAAAAAAAATCCAACAATGTTCAGTCAGGTCATCTGGACAGTCTTATTTTTTGTTGAGAGACGTTTCGCCCTCCATCCAAAGGGCTTCGTCAGTCTGAGGAGTCACAGACAAACTGTTTTCCCCACTAAGCAGTACACTTCTACAGTGAACTGTCCAGATGACCTGACTGAACATTGCTGGGTTGAGTTTTAATCCGCTGGAGATGTAAACGTAGTAAACTGAGACTCAGTGACAGGGCAGGAGGATCTCAGAAGAGAGGAGCTGAAATCGTAGGATATTTTTAACCATTAATTTGGTCACATGAAGTAGTTCAGTACAGAAGCAGATGCTGTGCGGTTGATAAGAGCATACCCAGGCCTTGTTAGTTAATGATCCAACTCCACAGTGTAGTCAGAGAACACAGTCAGAGTACACTGATAAAGTTAGAGGAATGGCCGCAGCATTCTGGAGGACTATCACCGTTAAAGGCAGCATGTGATCAGATGTGACGTTATTTGGGCGTTAATGTGTGACAAAGAGAACACACTCGGGTTTTTTTTTGTGTGTGTGTGTATTACCGTAGTAACATCTTCATTTCATTAATCTGATTCCCCCCCGCAGTCATCTCTCAACGGGCAGAAAAACTAGTGTGATCGTGTCTTAACATGTCAACAGACTTCACAGTGTCAAAGCTGGCATGACACCTAAGAAAAACCCCAGTGGAAAGACGTGGAATTAAGCACTTGCTCAGTCACCAAGGAAAGAAAAACACACTCATGCATACACACACAGTAACCTGGAAGTCAACGTCAGCAGGAATGCTCCTGTGAGCTTGTGTTTCTATGTAAGTACCACTCCCTGTTTGGGAGATACTCTTGGCAGCTCTGGCAAGAGACAGAACAAAAGCAGGCAGCTCAAAAAAAAAATAAAAAAATGTACCACCATGTAAACACAAACACACACACACATGTTATGGCATCTATAGCTTTCCATGTAACTGTGCCTGTTTCCTAGGATGCTGAGAAGGTTAAGTCTCGAAAGATGAGGAGAATATTTTCCACTCTCTGTTGACGGGCTCTCATATTCTGACAGGTTTATATTAAAGCATGTTATTTATATCTCGTTGCAGATATTAATAGCTGAGCATGAGGGGCAAGTGTGGCCTGGGCTGTAAAGTAAGGCCAGCAAAATGCCAGCACAGGCCTGTGGGGGTTATTAATCAGATCCTTTTTCCAAACCTATAACAAAATAATCATGAAAAGCCAAAACAAACATTATGAGTAATTGTTAATGTGTCACCTGCAGGTCAGCAGTTGTCAGAAGCTGAGTCAAGCTTGTTGGACAGGTTACACCGAGACACAACTAGCAAAGATGTAAAACAACTACATGTGTGTTTTTGTATCGTGTATTGGATGATAGTAAAACTGGAAGTCCTCGCTGCATTGTGAACTCATAAGTCGCCTTTTAAGCAATCATGCACTGAAACGAGTTCTGCAATTGAAAAAATACTTAAAAAAATATATAAAATAACTGACACTTGCAAAATAGTTGGGGTTTGAAAATACACTTTCGAAATACTGCTTTAAAACATTTAAAGTACTAAAGAAGGTAAAATTAAAACGTCAAGTCCCAGGTAATATACACAATTGAAAAAGCATCATTCAAAAAGCAATAAAAATATTAACAATAGCACAGTTAAGTTGTAAACACTTTTTGTATGACTTAACGTAATGCACGTACTTATGTAGATTTTTTTTTTTTTTTTTGCAATTATCCAGTGTTCCCAGTGACACACTGCTACTGACACTACAGTGGCTTCTACGCTTACGCAACGTTTATTAGAAAATGCGCTGTCATTGCCAGGATTGACAGTGACTCATGTTTGTGGCCGACATACAAAAAAACGATGAAGCACGGAGAAAAATACGTCTCCTAATAAGCTGCTATCAAAACTAAAAGAGGAGAAAATTCAAGGCTCAACTTCCCTTATGGTCCGAGACCATCTTAAATTAAAAAATGATTGTGACGATAGCTTGAGATGTCATGCTCCGACCAAGCATTGTGATTAGTTTTAGCTGTAAACACATAGGCCTTTTCACTCAATGTCCATAAATTTGGTTAAATTTTAGCTTTTTTGTGTGTTTTCTGAGGTTAATTGGAAATTGGATTGGCCTCAGTGGACCGTCAGTTGTCCAAGTGTGTGCAACAACTGTATCCTGAAGTTTTCATTTAAATTTGCCCCATAGTTCATTAGATATTTTGCTAACATAAAGTTGACTCCTAATAGTTTTATGGCATATTTTTGAACATACTGTAGATCCGGTGCAATCAATTAGCACTTAAAATATGCGTTGAAAATCAGACTGAACTACCACATCAAGTTTCAGGTCATTATTGACTGAAATATCACCATTTTTATGTTTTCAAGGTCGATTGGCAGTGGCAGCCATCTTGACGCCAATCATTTGTAGCTGTACATCTGTACCTTCTATATGTTTTATTAAAAATTATCCATTTGTTCATGTTCCTTTGGTAACAGACAAGCACAAACACACCCAGACATTATCGTTTTTTTCTTCTATTGAACACAAAGATAAAAAGCAACTTGTAGAAACAAAACTTATCGATGCATTCACACACGTCAGAGAATGCGGCAAAAGACTGGTGGTCTGTGGGATGCTGCTTTTGTTTTGATACACACGTTTTGGCTCAGTTGTAGAGTTTTCAGAAGAATGCATGAGAAGATGTACCCTTCCTATCACTGCATCTGTAAAGGAGATACGCCAACTCAGCAAGACCACAACTACAGTTATCTCATCTTCTATGTAAAAAGCATCATCACTGGCTGCACAATAATACGCATCTATATATATACATATATACTCACAGTTGATGAAATTAACGTGACATTTTTAGCTGATGAGTGACTGTTGTGTTTCCGCTGTGGGCTGTGACATTCAAAGTGGGACTTGTTCCATAAAAACAGCTCGATACAATTTGCCACTTTTATTCAACAAAACAAATTTTGTTCCATTTACTGTATATATATATATATATATATATATATATATATATATAAAAAGTTCTGTTTTTGGGATACTTTTGAATAATCTTCAGTCTTTGGTGGGTTTTATTCAACCATTCTCTGTATATCTATCACAATGTTGCTTGCAGCCCAAAGTTGCTCCCTTCCACCAACCAATACATCAATCTGTGTCTTTGATGTAATCATCCCAGACACCAGAGGATATAAGGGGAAATGTACGTATTCTGGTAAGCACAAGCGCACAGTTCCAGAATCTCCTCTGGCTGTGAGTAAAAACATGCAGAAACTATACGTTGCGTGATCGATGACAAGGTAATTTACAACATTTCCTGAAAACCCAGCATTAGTCATTGACTTATGTAGACCCAAATACAGTAAACACACAATTAGGTGCCTGCATGTTGAGACATTTCAGCACAAGAAACCTCTCACTGTTTAGTAAATTTCAGGGAACAACATTTTTTATTTTTCCCCCCTTTTTCCCACTTTCCACTCAAGTGCTGTAGACTCAAACACATTTCAGAGTTGGGATGATTTGTCTTTTGGCAGAAAGTCTGTAATCAGTCCTTAGAACCCACATGCAGAGAACTTGTGCACAAACAGCCGCAGACTGTTCGAGGCCTGCATGAGAGCTATGCAAATAAGTCACTTTGCTTCACAGGCCAACGAAACTGAAACGTTTCACACAGCTGGCTAAAAATACTTTGTTTTCTTTCTTCTTCTGTGTTTCTTTTTCTTCTCTTGCAGGGGGAGGAGAAGTGGGTTGGTCAGAAGGAGGGTCATCCGGGAACATGGCATGTGGAAACCCCTCCCAGAACTCGGGGAGGAGACTTCGCTCTCCTTAAATTTAAGAACTCTAGAACAGAGTTAAACTAGGTGTAGACGCAGACTTCCAGCATTTACCGTGGATCACTCTTCTTTTTGATGCCAAAGGGATACAGCATGTCCAAAATGCTTGACACCAGCATCCCCACGGTGAGTTAAAACATATCTTGCTTCTTTTTTTTGTTACAAAATAGTTTTTATCCGACTTGTTGTTGCTCTTTTTATTTTTCTTAAGATCTCTAATTGGGTGCTTAACTCATCTGAATTGACTTTAGTCTCAGAGGGGTTCATCTCTTTGTACAAATAATGAGAGAAGGGAGACATAGTATCTTTAAATCCAGTCTCCCATTAGCAGATAAATGATTTAATATGCTCTACTGGTTACAACAAAGGGCTAAGAGTTGTTTGCTTTGGAAATATCTAAAACCATGGAGGTGACTTTGTAGTAACTCTTTCCATTATCTCTCACAGAACTTTCTGAACCTAACCCTGAGCGATGGTTTGCTCCTGTCCCAGTCCCAGCTCAAAGCCCCTGGGCAGAGTCGGCTGAGCCGATCAGCGTCTTTCTTCTCTCCCCCCTCCCATCCTGACGATTCAAGCCTCAGCTTGAGCTCTGAACATGTTAACAGTGATGACAATGGCAGCTCTATCTGGTCATCTAACAGCTCTATCTGGAGCCAGGGCCCAGTTTCCAGTCAAAAACAACTCCCCTTTCGCTCAGACCGCTCCATGAGCATGACTGAGCCCAGCAGCAGCCTGCTCCCTCCATTTGGACAGCTGAAGAACCTGGAGCTGTTTCCCCAGAGCTCCACTACCACTGTGGCTCCCCCTCCAGGGTTTCCGCCCTCATCTAACCTTCCAGCCCAGATCCCACCAATGCTCTCCTCCAACCGTTACAAGACAGAGCTCTGTCGGGGCTTCCAAGAGACCGGCAGCTGCAAGTACGGCAACAAGTGTCAGTTTGCCCACGGTGAGGCAGAACTGCGTGGACTGTACCGCCACCCAAAGTACAAGACGGAGCCCTGCAGAACCTTCTACAATTTTGGCTACTGTCCCTATGGGTCACGCTGCCACTTCATCCATGAAGAGAAAATAAGTGGAGATCCCTTGCTGTCTGCAAAATTCCAGCGACAACCAGCCCCCACATCAACTGGTGCTCACAATCCACGTCACCAGCTCCGACAGAGTCTCAGCTTTGCTGGGTTCATGCACTCATCACGCTCACCTCCCCCGTCATTCTCTGCAGCCATCAATGAGCCTAACCTGGGATTCAGTCGTGCTCCTTCTGTGTCCCCACCTCCCACTGATCTCCTGTCCCCGATGTTTGGTGACTCCGTGCAGCGGGAGGCCTCAGCATTCCAGTTCGGAAACCTCCAGACCCACACCAGCAGCGGAGACATTCCTTACATCGTAGAGCCAAAACCTTCTCGCTGTGTGTGTGGCCATGGAAATAACTTCAACAACATCAAAAGCAGCACGTTCACCGTGTCAGACGGGCACCCCGAGAGTACTTTGCAACTTCCCAGTCATGGGGGCAATGGAGGATTTATAAAGCACACCGGACTGCAGCGTTTCTCCTCCGAGGACTCCCTGGAGGACAGCTACAGCAGCTGCAGCTCCAGCGGATCTGAGTCTCCAACGTTTGACGGATCCACCACCAAGAGGCTCACTGTGTTCGAACGCTTGTCCCTTTCCGACTAAATGGATCCAAAGAGAGACACTTAAGTCACTTCCCTGTTTCTCGACTCTCTTCAAAAACCAGAACTGTCCAGAACAAGTTGATGAAATAACACTTGTATAAATTTAGCTGATCTTTTACGAACTACACATACTAAGATGATTTTAGTACTCACTTGTTATCAGACTCTATTTTTTTATACTTAGAAAAACACAGTGTAGCCTTTTAGACGTTTCTATGTGGTCTTCCGTAAGAATTACCTCCTCTACAGGTCTTGACCTAACCAGCACATATTCTGACTCCTATTTACCACAAATCGGTAGTGATCAAAAAGTCCTGTAATTAGTGAAAATCATTAGCGCCTGTGCCTTAAAGATTTTTTCTGCCTTATAGGCTATTCATTATCTGTGCCACATACAGTATATGTTTGATTCAGTAGCCTTAATCAGCGAGACCTGACATGTGTCTATGATATGCACTTTACAGCTAAATCAAATGTGGGGGGGAAGCCCCAGTAGCATTCAACCAAAGCTTAATCCTTCATTCTGCTCTGTGGATGTATGCGTGTATGCCTGTTAAGTATGTATGTACGGGTGCTTGTGTATTTTTCTGTATTTTATTTTTTAAGACTTGGGGTGCAAGCGAATATTGCAAAATGTTAAAGGATCAGAAAAAAAAAGTCACGTTATCGTTTTTAGATCTCAACGTCTGTATCCCGACAACTTTTATGGTATTTGATGTTCTAAAACGTTCTGTTCCTTTTTGCTGGTTTGTAAATTGCACCCCATTTTGTTTGACAGCCTGGTTCAGGGAACACCGCAGTATTCCATTTGGTTATTGGTTGCCTTGTGTTGTTTAACTTAAACTAATATATTTATTATATTTATTTGTGTTTAAAGAAGAAAATTTGTATTTTGTACTTTATTTATGAATAAAACATATTTCAAGTTCTGTGAAATAACAATGTGAGAGAGGAAAAAAGAAAAGCAACAAAAAAGAAAATATATTTTTAATTGCCCGATAAAGACAAAATAAAATACTAAATAAAGACATAATTTTAACCTTTTGTTGGCTTGTTCTTTTGCTGCTCACTTAAAATGTATATGCTTGGTTGTCTTGCGCATAAGCACAACGTGAAACGTAGACATAGATGTGGGGGGAGTGGGGAGCACAGGTGTGTTACTGTTGGCTCAGTTCCAGCAAGTGTCCCAGACGGCCATGAAGAAAAGCAGGACCTTCCCTTGGAGGAATGTGGCCATTGTGTGCTTTTTGCTTCAGCAGAGGTCAAAACGAGTGCAGGAAAAAGACGGGGTTCAATCGTGAGGGAGGAAATATGAGTTAACTGGTTGTTTGTTATAAAAATAAGAGAAAACCTGTCTGTTTTTGAACAAATGACTGTTTATAGTCAAAGTTGTTGGTGGAAATGTTTAATGCTACGTTGTTCACATTCAATGAGGCAAGCACTGTGGAGTCAAAGGGTTAATGTACCCAAATGGAGACAACGATCCCACATCTAGATCATCATCATATCTGTTCACTTCCACAGAAGGTCTTAAACATGTTTATTTAAACATTTTGTAAGAACTCAAAGCATTTCTTGGCATTTGGATATGAATATTCTAATGTAGTTATAGTTCATTAACATCAGAAGAGAAGACATCCATTGCGTTTAGAGATTTTCTTGGCTCTCTCTAACAGCTTTGAGTTTAGTGGCGTGCGGTGGCTCTGTTTTGGACACAACAGGTCATTCCACAGATCATTTCACACAGCTTTCAATTGCAGGTGAACACTGCAAAATGTTGCGCACGAGAAACAAACACCATATGCACAAACCCTCGCAGTAAGAAATGTAAAATTGTGTGTGAATTCCACAAGTTTCTCCGCCCCTTCGTTTGAATGTAGCAACTGAACAAGGCTGATAATAATCAACCAGGATATTAACTAACAAATGATAAAATCAAAGTTTTGTTTTTTTTTAACTGGAAAAAAACAAACTTCTGTTCACATTTTTTGTAGCCCCACTCTATTTTTCATGTTCATATTGAGGTAAGAGGATCCATTTTATGATGCAAAACCATCAAAGGGGCAAAGCTTTCCACAGAGTTTGGGGGCACACATTTCAGAACACCGTGGTCACAAAAGATCTAAAATACTAAATGTAAGTCTTTTCTCTTTTGAAAATATACTACTGACTCTTGATCATCGTAAGGTTTCATGTATTGAATCAGCTGCAAACTTGAGTACCTGTACACAAAATAAATGGGCATATTGATGGTGTCAAATATGATTTGATTTCCTGAATGAGTATCCCATTCTACTGTGGAATATTTTAATTACTACTACAACTACTACTACTACTACTACTACTACTACTAATTGCTCACCTGCTATGTGACTGTTTGCTGCTTGTGGGAGTGAGTTTGTTGTGGCTCCTCAGACTGATGAAGTCCTTTGGATGAAGGATAAAATGTCTCCAAAAAAAAAAAGGTCCAGATGACCTGACTGAACTTTGTTGGATTTTCCACCTGGACTATTGAGCATGAGCTTCGGTGTATTGATACACTTTGGCTATGGCTGCCTCAGAGGAGTCAAAGGGGGAGAGGACCCCAGAAACCATCTAATCATCAGCAAACTGGTTGGTCCACTATGTGGGTGTGCTGCTTGTGGGACTGAGTTTGTTGTGTCTCCTTGGTTTGGCTGAAGGACAAACCATCTAAAAAAAAAAAACCTTCCAGATGACCTGATTTAACTTTGTTGGATTTTTTACCTGGATTATTGAGCATGAACTTTGATATTTTGAGTACTACTTTTTGTAGCTTTTAATTAAGTCAGCAGGTGCAGTTGCCAAGTTCCTTTGCCACTTAAATGCTTTGGTCACTTTGTACTCAGACTTTTGTGGGTACAAAAAGGAGCAATCTGCAACAGGTCTTTTCATTTATGCCTCGAGGTCTTTTCATATCTTTTTGACAGCCACTGATTTAAAGTCATCTATCTTACTATAGTCTACTCCTCTTGTTAGAATTTGGTTATAATTACTTGGTAAAGGCCTAATTTGAATAATTAATAGTCATTGAGATAAACCAGGTCAGGGATCTGGGTAAAACGGCAAAGCAGTGATTAGAGCTCTTGCCTCCCAGCTGAAAAGTAACAAGTTCAAACCTGGCTGGAGATGTTCTTTCCAGTTTCCATGATCTCTCTGTGCATGCGTGGGTTTTCTCTAGTTACTCTGGTTTTCTCCCACAGACCAAAAGCGTGCATGTTAATTTTTTTGGCAATTAAATTGTCAGAAAGGGTGATAGAGATTGTGAATGTCTGTCTTTCTCGTTTGGTTCTTTGTGGCGATGTCTTGGTGACTGGCCCAGGGGAGTACCCCACCTCACACCAAAGATTGTTGGGAATATGCACCAGCTACCCCACAGCTCAGTGCAAAAAATCAGAAGCGGATTTTGCGTTTGTCCATCCAAAGTTAAACTGAATTTATTTTAAGGTTTTATGATGTTTAGAACCTGGTTGGTGCTTACTGGGTAAGGGAATAGATTTACAGATAGTCAACAGTATGTAACTGGGTGTGAAATGATAAGACATGGGGTATGACGTGGAGTTAGACATGATCAAAGTGACCTGGATCCTTTAAGCACAATTGTCCTGTTAGAGGTAGAAACAATGCTAGAAAACAGAATTCAACCAAGAAATCTAGTAAATGAAGGACAATAAAATGTGGTTTAATGATTTATGGAGGAAACATCAGAAGAAACAAAAACAAAAAAAGGCACTGTCATCAAATGGGTGTTTGAAGGTTTAACATACAGTAGTTCTTTGTCTTCCTTCCGCAGCTTTTCAGCCTGAAGTTGTCAAAAATAATGAATCTCTAAAACTCTAATGTGAGGCATAAAACAAGATCATTTTTACTGCCCTGCAAAATCTCTCAGAACAGGTTTTTGCAATATCTTACAACATATTAGGAAAGTAACGGGATTACACAACATGCTGTTTTTCCAAGTATAATGTCAGCTGCAGTCATTTCCAGCTTCCAGCTCTTTTGATTTATATCTTCTGCTTTGTGAGCTGAATGTTCTTTGAGATTGTGTAAGACATATTTAGATGTAAAGCAGAAGTTCACGAAAACTCCCTGTTGCAATTCATATTCACAGTAAGACGGCCATGTTGTGCAACATGCCACTAAAGTCACAAAATCCAAGCAGTGGATGCCATGGAGACCGTAAGCTGGAAAAGTGACGGACCACGTTCAAAAAGCTGCAAACCCAAGACTGTGCATAAGTGTGCAATGCTGTGCACCATCACAAGGCAGTTGTGTGTATTCTTGACTGATGTGTTTTATGATAACACTTCTGCACCGTGAAGGTTGGAGACAATAAATACTGTTAAAAGTTTGTGCCTGTGAAATACGATTGGAAGATTTCCAAAGAAACTGGAGGATAACTTTCTTCAAAAACCACAGATATGAGACTCTTTCCTGTTAAAGCCTTTCACTCACTCGTTTTCTGTGAAAAATTTAGATCATGAGGAAAATCTGTTTTGTTTCGGCTGTGTGGTCTTGAGCTCCAGTCGGTTTAGCATGTGCTGAAAAAGTAGGTCAACCCCACCCGTGGACTTATGTGATAATGAGCATACATGCTTCCTTGAAATCTTTGTCAAACTGCTTTTCCTTTCTGTTCATTTAAGTTGCTATGAAAGACATGCAGTCATGTAATCACTCGTGCATGTGTGTGCATTTGTTGACTTTTCTGTTAGCAAAATATTTTATAATCCACAGAACAGATTTTAGTGAAACCTAAAGTATTCAGTTATGTATATCTTCAAAGGACTGACTTTTGGAGTCTGCATGATTCAATTTTAACAAGCACAAAATCAGCCATGTCTCAATCGGTTTTATAGACACTGAGCTAAAATACCACACCACTTTATTCATAAAGCATTAAAACAGCAACAAGGCCAACCAAAGTGCTGTACAGCAAAAACAAAACAAGCAAAGGACATGGCAAAAAATACATAGGTCCAAATAGGTAAAGATAAGAATGAAATGGCTAACACAGTTGCAAAATCCAGGGAATAAAAGTGAGTTTTCCAACAAGACTTAAAAACAGTGAGAGAGGGAGTCTGCCTGACATATAGGGGTACCTCATCCCACAGTCTTGGACCTGCAACAGAGAAGGCCCTGTCACCTCTGAGCTTAAAACGAGTGCCTGGAACCAATAAAAGCATCTGGTCTGCTGACCTCAGAGAGCGCTGTGGGACATATGGCTGCAGCAGATCAGCGAGATAAGACGGGGCAGAACTGTTCAGAGATTTAAAAACATAGAGGAAGATTTTTAAATGAATTCAAAAGTGAACTGGGAGCCAGTGGAGGGAGGCCAGAACTGGAGGCTTTATTTTGTCTGTACCAGTTAACAATCGGGCTGCAGCATTTTGAACCAGTTGCAAATGTGCAATAGAGGTCTGACTGATTCCAAATAGAAGTTCATTGCAGTAATCAAGCCTGGATGTTATGAAAGTATTACTGTCTCAAGATTACTTTTTTTTACTTTTAAAATCTGGTATGATCAATGCTAGATAATACCAAAGTCCATGCTCAATAATCCAGGTTAAAAAAAAATCCAGCATCGTTCAGGCAGGTTTGTTTGTGGCTCCTCGGACTGATGAAGTCCTTTGGATGAAGGACGAAGTATCTCAACAAAAAAAGGAACCATCCAGATGACCTAACTGAACAATGTTGGATTTTCTACCTGGATTACTGAGCATGAACTTTGATGTTTTGAACCACTTAGACTATGGTTGCATCAGAGGAGTCGATGGGGGAGAGGGCAGGCCCCTGAAACAATCTTATCACTAGCAAACTGGTTGGTCCACTATGGGAGTGTGCTGCTTGTGGGACTGAGTTTGTTTGTGTGTCCTCGGACTGACGAAGTCCTTTGGATGAAGGGCAAAATGTCTCAACAAAAACAAAAAAGAAAGAAACCGTCCAGATGACCTTACTGAACGATGTTGGATTGCTGAACAATGCAAGCTTTTTGTTATAATTTGTGCTGCAACTGCTAAGAT